GTGTAGAGGGTGAAGAGGAAGGGAGAGAGGACAGTCCCCTGCGGGGCCCCGGTATTGCTGACCACTCTGTCTGACACACAGCGTTGCAAGCACACATACTGTGGTCTGCCAGTCAAGTAGTCTACAATCCAGGACACCAGGGGGGCATCCACCTGCATTGCTGTCAGCTTGTCACCCAGTAGAGCTGGACGGATGGTGTTGAATGCACTAGAGAAGTCAAAAAACATGACCCTCACAGTGCTCGCCGGCTTATCCAAATGGGTGTAGACGCAGTTGAGCAGGTAGATGATGGCGTCCTCAACTCCAAGTCGGGGCTGATAGGCGAACTGGAGGGGGTCCAAAAGTGGCTTGACCATGGTCCGGAGCTGCTCCAAGACGAGTCTCTCCAGGGTCTTCATGATGTGGGAGGTCAATGCCACGGGTCTGTAGTCCTTGGAACCACTGGGACGTGACGTCTTTGGCACAGGAACGAGGCAGGATGTCTTCCACAGCAAGGGGACCCTCTGGGCAGGGCCAGCAGTGTCAAATCTGTTAAAAAACAGATTCAGTTCATTGGCCCTGTCCATGCTGCCTTCAACTCCTCTGTGGTTGTTGGTCCTGAAGCCAGTGACGGTCCAGGACCAACAACCAAAGTCAGGAGCTGCTCCATAGACAATTGGGAAAGATGCAGATGACCCTGAGAGTATCCAGGGTAATGTTCTGGGTATGTGGGTGCATTTTATGTTTCAGACCTGAGAACACTCCAGCAGAATAAAACTGGGCGCTCTGTCAGGCTCCCAGTGTCAGTGTCTATGAAGCAGCTCCAGACTTTATACACTTTGACATCACAAGTTTGAGACTTTCTTCTTTTGTTTCTGGCTTTTATAGGAGTACCTCATGTTCACAAATATTGATTGAACTTTCCTAGGCCATGGAAGTAACTACAGATGCATGATATTGAAATTTTGACAGTTATTCTATATCCAACAACTCACTTGACCGATAACCGATATATCCACTTTTTTCCCCTACCTTATTTTAGTGATCATCAGGCCTCTTCTGTAGTGGAATTAACATCATATTGTGCATGCATACTATTATCATGATGGCCCACCAGCAGATGGAGACATGAAATACAATACTTTTCATTGTTCATTCATTGTGCAAAATAAGAAAAAGCACATTGGTCGATTGTGGTAGTTCACTTAAAAGCTGATAGCTGATTTCAAGTTGGCCAATACCAACAATGTGCTGATATTATCATGAATCCCTAGAAATAACATAATTGAATTCTTAATATAGGTGGTGTCCCCTTTAAGTAGCAGCACTATAAATGTATTACAACTTCTTGTCCATTACTTGTTGTAATTGTGGCATAATGTTGATATTAAAGGTCCAGTGTGTCGGATTTAGGGCTATATTTTGGCAGAAGTGGAGTGTAATGTAATAGGTATGTTTTCTTTAGTGTATGATCACCTGAAAATAAGATTAGCTGTGTTTTAGTTACCTTAGAATGACCTGTGTATATCTACATAAAAGCGGGTCTTGGTTCATGGAGTCCGCCATGTCACACCAGCATGTTGCTATAGTGGCCCAGAACAGACAAACCAAACACTAGCTTTGTGTTACAATACCCATACCACCATACTATAGAGTATGCCAGAAAAAGATTTACTATGTCCCAATATATAGTATGTCAAATGCAGTATCCCAAAAATACCGGGATGTCCTACTACATCCTGGTATTTCGTACTACATCCTCTATGCAGCAGATGGTACACCACATCAACTAAAAAGTGTCTAATGACCAGTCGAATAGTAATGATATGAGTATTAATTGTTTAAATGATCAAGAAATAATCAAAAAGATTACAGACAACAAAAGGACATAACTATAAAATAACAATTATGGAGAAATGCAGATGTAATTTTACTGTTGTGTATGAAATATGTTAGATTAGAAGAGACCTCAGCATTGGTTGGGCTCCCAGTAAAAACCTAAACAATGAACACTGTAGGAATTCTAAACGGGAGAAGTCTCAGATGGTTGCAATCCACTAGATGCCTCTAATCTTACACACTGACTCTTTAAAGAATGATATTTGTTTATAATATTTTTAATCTGTGATCTGTCAGCAGCGTCCCTGCAGGGAACCTCGCAGTAACTGGCAACACTCACCTTAGATTATTCAGCAACTGGATTGTGCCCAGAGCAGCAGCGGGACCTCAGATTTCCAGATGTGGGCCACTGTCTTCACAAGCTGAGGGTTCAGGAGTGTTCCAACAACTTCCTTGGCAATACCAGCAGGTACGGACAAAGAAACGGGGAACAGAGTATCAGCCCAAGAACATCAAACGCAAGAGGACCCACGGTTGGATCAAGAGGATGAGCACACAAGGCGGCATCGAGGTGGTTCTACGGCGCATGTTGAAGGGACGGAAATCACTCACACACTGACGGACCCTGTTGGAAAACCTACAAGAAAACAGACACTGGTTCAGAAACACTGGCGCTGCTCAGGGTGCTCAGTAAAGACCTTGTGGAATGGGTTAACTGGTGATACTGGGTGGGTTGGGTGTGGCTCTCCTAGTGCATTAATAATGGGCAGGAGAATGAAAACTGGCCTTTGACAAACAATTTGCATTTACCTTAGGGTAAAAAGAAGCCTGGTAGTTTCATGCAGTTGCTTTTGATCCATAAAGTTTTGTTCATAATCATTAAATGTTATCAGATGTATAGATTGTTTGAAGTGAAGTCATTTGATTCTAAGACAAAATGTGTCTATAAAGATTGGTTGTTCTCAAATGAAAACACCAATTCTGGTTGATTTGGAAATAAAAAAACACCTGCAGAATTCACATGTACTTGAATTTGTGATTTTAAAAAGTAGCCTCAAACATAGTTTGTGGACAAAGGGTTTGTTCTTTGTTGCCTCAACAAACTAAGCTTTGACCTTCAGAGTTTGCTGCCATCTACTGCTGATGACAAAGCTGTAGGTTTATTAGGTTAATGTTAGAGAAGACGTCATTAATACCACACAGGAGGAATGTGCACGTTACAGCAGCTCAGGAGTCAGAAGCAAGAGGAAAAAGTGAGTGCTAAAAAAGATAAAATAAACAATTACAGAACTACAAATTAGATAAAATGATAATCTGTACACACCTTTCATTTGTACAGATACTGTATGTCCATGATTGATAGCTGCTAAAGGGAACTGAAATACATGGTGGGTAGTATATTTCCTCAAAAAGTATTGCACAGTATAAGCCTATAAATATTACTGCACATTAAGTGGTATGTAAGGTATGTTAAACACAACTTGATTAATCTCAGAGGGGAAATTATATATTTTTCACTTGGTTTTCATGTACGCACAGGCCTGAAATACACACACATGCACAAACAGGAGCTATACATGAATTAAATGGAGAGATGTCAGAGTGAGGGGGCTGCCTTGGACAGGCGCACGGAGCAGTTTGAAGTTCAGTGCCTTGCTCAAGGGCACCTCAGAAGTGCCCAGGAGGTGACCTAGCACCTCTCCAGCTGCCAGTCCACGCTCCATATTTGGTCAGTAAGGAGACTTGAACCGGCCCTATGGACTAAGCTACTGCTGCCCATATGTGGATGTTATGTGTTTAGATAGATAGATAGATAGATAGATAGATAGATAGATAGATAGACTAGGCTTTTAATTGAAATTTTGTGGTATGTCATAACACTTAAAACATAAATAGACATATAAATAAAACATATATTTAATTAATAACCGGAATAGTAATAAGTTATGGCATAAGTCATAGTTTTTATGTCAATAACTTAGAGTTCTTAGTAAAAGTTGCATTGCTATTGTTTAGATCTTTTATAAAACCTGTATTCTGCGAAGCACTTTGCGAATTTTATTTCTGTAAAAGGTGCTATATCAAATAAATTTTTTATTTTTTTTATATTTTACGCTGCTGGCCCATGAGCTCAGCCCCCAGCTGTTAGCAGCAGCTGAGAGATGCATGGATACATAATGTACAGAGAGGAGGACATGCTGTAAAGTGTTGTTTTCATCAGAGCTCCATGCCACAACCCCCCTCGGATTGGCGGATTGCTCTGTTACATAATCACTTTCTAGCCAATCAGCGCATAGCTTGTCCTCTGTCTTCACGCACCTACCACTGCCCAACCAATCAGGTGCGTCGAATCTCGAAACGTAACCGCCCCCGAACAGACGAACAACAAAAATGGAGTTATGAACTAGTAGCAAGTTAGCTTCGTAAGGACGTTCAATTTTAGTTTTGGTGTCGTTACTGTACTATGAGTTGATGTCTCCAGGTAATTGAAGTGTCGTGATGCGTTCACATTGAAGCTATACGTAGTTTATGTTTTGTAGCGGTCGCAAGAAGCTGTCGAACGGGTAAACAAACCGGTTTCTACGGGTACGACAAAGACAACAAGGCTTAGTAGCTAGCATTAGCTAGCTAGCTAAAACAGTAGCATTTGCTCGTTTTCACTCCAGCAGGTTAACGGACGAAGAGCGGGACAGACAGAAATGGAGAAGGTAGGTTCACAGCTAACTCTTGGCTGAATTATTTATATATAAGTGATATAAGTTGGCTGTTATCGGCTTCCAAAGACATATTGCTGACATGGTGGCGAGTAGTAACGTACGCACTTCAAGTACTCTGTCAGTTTAGACCACATTACTCCAAAGTTGTCGCGTTAAATGCAGATGGAAGGAGTTCTACTGTATTACCCAGGTATGGCTGTGGTGTCTGGCCTTGGTTGATACTTTTGGTTATATTATTCTGTTCTGCTCACAGTCAGATTTCCTGAAGGGGCTGCCTGTCTACAACAAAAACAACTTCAGCAGGTTCCATGCAGACTCTGTATGTAAAGCATCAGTAAGTCATTTTATTAGTTCTCAAAATGCTGAGACAAATTATGATGTTGTGAATGTGATGTCGGTCTTTAACCCTCAAAAGGACCATTTGTAAAATAGTCATGCCTTGTTCTCTTGAAACCCTGAGGAAATACTTGCTCTGCTCACATGCCTCTACAGATAACTGCAGACACATTGATTCACTGATTGATGGAAGATCATGCTGAACAACAGCAAATCTGTAACAAAACATCTGTTTACAAAGTCACACGGTATAGTCCAAATCTCATCCAGTTGCACACACATATACTTTTGAAACACATGTATTTTGTTGCTAAAAAAAACCCTTGGTGTTAGAGCTTGGCTTTGAAGTAAGCCTAGACAAGTTTCACTTTCAATTCAGTTAAAGGTATAAGTACATGACTGGATCAGTCTTGTAGTGGTAGTTGATGAGGTTGGTTTGCTACTAAGTAGATGGGTAAGTAACAAAGTAGGAAGTGGGTTTACTCTTTTATATATTCCAGTGGCTTTTTGGCTGATAAATGGGTATACTGTATCGGCCAGAAAAAGAGGTGAGAATACTCTCTATACCTGCAAATACCCTCCACTACACCACCGGACTGGAGAAATTATACTTGGGTTATACTGCACAGGTTGTCTGAGAGTTTGTAAACGGATGTTTTGATATGCTGTTGTTAGACATGGTCCCCTGTCAATCAATAAATCAATACATTTGCCATTTTCCATAGAGGCATGTGAGAAAAACAAACTTGACATGACTAATTGATAAAGAAATGGTGATTTTGTGGGTGAAGTATTTCTTTAAATTCAAGTAATGTTGTCACATGGTAGTACTTCTTTTATTCAGATAATTCCTGCTAATTTATAAACTGACATGTATCTCAATATCATTTTAGAACCGCCGACCATCGGTGTATCTTCCAACTCGGGAATATCCATCAGAGCAGAGTAAGTGCATTGACTTTTAAATGTTCACAGAGCAGGGGGGGCAGCGTTCACTGTCTGTCACAGTAGATTAAATACATTGTAGGTGTATCTTAGGTCAGCTTTTGTCTTTGCTTAGTAATGATGTCATTTTCAGGCTTCGATTAGTGGAAATCACCTTCAGTTCCATCGTGACAGTGTAGTCATGACTCAGCTTGTTTATCAATTTAATACTATGGATGGGAGCAGCTGATTTCAGTTACATTCTCTCTTCCCTGCGTCTTTTAACTTTGTGTCTCAATCAGTGTCTTTGTTGTCTCTCCTCAGTCATTGTCACAGAGAAGACAAACATCCTATTGCGATATCTTCATCAACAGTGGGACAAAAAGGTATTTCATCACAGTTAATGTAATCAAGGAGACAGTGGGTGCTAATTGTTAAGGTTATGACAGCAGATATTCAGTTGTTCTGTGCTTTGTTAAATTTGTCTTTCTTACTTTATCAGAATGCAGCAAAAAAGCGAGAGCAGGATCAAGGAGAGGGCGAGAACACGGCACCGCCGCGGAAAATTGCCAGAACAGACAGCCGGGAGCTGAATGACGACTCATGAATCGCTGTGCTGTTGCTGCACACCCAGCAGAGACTGACCTGTACAAACAAAAAAAAATGCACACACAGATGCAGAATATAGGCCTTGACACTGAATCACACACGGATCCATACATTTCACATTTCACACCAGAACCGGCATGACATTAATCCCAAATAAATACTGGTCTTAATGTTTGCATTTGACTTCAGATTCCCTCATTAACCAAATACTTTATTCCTCAATTTACTACTTTCACCCAGTATTTTTACTTCCAAGACACCTCTGCCTCAGATTTCCGTATTTGTAGTTTGAAAATAACATACATCTACCTCCTTATTCCTCAGCCCCTCTGCTTTTCCTTCACTTATGCTCACATTTTTAAAAAAAAAAAAAATATGCAGCTCCTATGCTGCTATTTAAGTGTTTAGTGCTGTTTAGAGCTGTTATTCAAACCATCTCTGAGATATGCATGTTTTAATTTAAGTGTTTAATGCCATCTTTTGTGGTTCCCACTCCATTAAGAACTTTTAGTTTTGAAGTACGTAATGACAGTGGTCCTAAAAATGTTATTTTTAGCTCATCCTTTATGTGATTACTGTCATTACAGTAACTGAAAATAACACTGCAGTGTTGCTTAGATTTAATAATCCATTCAGGGTTTGCTGTTGTTGCAGGAAAAGTTGAGTGCTGAAAGAAATGTTCTTTTGTTTCCTCCAGATGAGAGATGATTTGTTGCCTTAAATGGAAGCGAGTGTGTTTTCACTATGTCTTAGAGTGACCCCTCGGTTTACATTGTTGTTTCAGGTAAAGACATGAACCACTGTTGAGTTGAGTGGATATTAGTATGTCTGTGAAGATATATTCAAGCCAATACACTCATACAAGAGAATGAGATGTGTTTTTGTACAGAGTGATCTGCAGATTTTGTAGCCATATTCTAATTTTGATGCTCGGCAGGTTGAGGTCACCACTTTATGAGCAGCATGTGTGTCTTTGGAAATGCAAGATTAGCGCAATATTTTGTGGAACAGGTGATGACTACAGTTTTGATTAAATTTATAATGTAGCTGTACTGCTGTGTAGGCGACCTGTACGGACTGCTGTCAGTCACATTTCTTCAAAAGCTTAAGCAATATTGTGGAAATGTGTGTTTGGATTCACAAGCTTGTGACAGCAGGGCTAAATAACCAGCCTGTGTTTGCTGCTCATAAAGTCGTTGACACTCCTCGTAAAGCTTCACAAGTCCTGTATATTTGTACAGTATGTATATTGTGATTGTTCTGACCCTTTTTATCAGGTAACAAGACAGCGACTCGCTCTGTAATGTCTCCCCCAGGTTAGCCATATTGTCATCTGATTTTGTTTAGCCAATTTGTTCCTGAACCCTGGAGAGATGCAAACCAGAGTTCAGTCAATACAAACTAAAGCATTTTGCTTAGTTTGCTTTGCACCTTTAGGAACCTCACAAATTATATTTGCCACATTTTCAATAATGTTTGGCACGACTCTCCGTTGAGTCTATAAATGTACATTTTTGTTCTTTTGTTACATGTTGCTGTTCAAAGATTACAGAGTTTATGTGCAGTCAGGCTGCTTATCCAAGTAGAACATGCACTGTAGGGTTCTTGAGTATGACTATAAAACAGAGACGTGCAGTTTTGTTTTCCCGGCTCTTCATAGAAGAGTTCGCTAATTCTACTTTTGTTATATGGTTTGTATTTTGTCACCTAATTAAGTTTGGAATGTGTTTATTGTCAAATGCTTTGCTTTTGAGTTGTATAAATGTATTGTCAATTTCAGATCTTGTTCTTGTATAGATTACACTATGACATACAGTAAAAGCTACAACTCCGAGTTAATGGCAGTGTTTTTTGGGGTGAAACAAGTTAGACTGATAAATAGCACTACAGGTAAGAGGAAAGATGTGTATCTGTCCCTTGAAGGGGAAAAGATCATCTGGCAAAGACATCTTTCATAGGTTTGTACTTACGCAAGAGTGTGTATGTTCTCTTTCAACTGTTAGTGTTCATACATGTCCTAATCCAAGGAAACAAACCAACCCAGCAAACATCCACAATCCAGCATTACATTTTTACAGTTAACAAAATCAGCCAATGCTTTATCTCTTGATGGATGTTTATTCAAGTGAGATTTATTTGCATCATAGAAGTACATTCACTAATTTATGTAGTAAAATAATTCATAGAAAATCAAAGTTAAGAAAAATAGAATATTTTTTTATGGTCACAGTGAATATAATTTGACCTATTGCAGAAGAATACGATGGCTTTAAAAAGTGCTTTACAACTGAAAAAGACATGATGGACGTGTAATGCATGCACATGATGCAACATGCATTCAATACAGGCATCAGGATGAGAAACAAACCTGGAATAGGAAGCTGCTGTTTGTGTCCATTAAAGGTCCATTGAGTACGATTTAGGTGGATTTAGTGGCGTCTAGCAGTGAGGACTGCAGTGTGCAACCAGCTGAAACCTCTCCAGGTTAGAATTTCTTCAGTATCCAATGTTCTTAAAGTTTTTTATTGGCAAATTATGCACAGAGGTCTCTTCCTTTCCAAAACAAACCAGTAAAATCACTGAATAAAGCAGTTTCATGTTACAGATGAGTGTCTCTACGATGCTGTTTCAGCTTGTTGCTTGTTGCTAATGTGTGCTCACCTTTGTTCTCTGGTAACCTAACATCCAGACGTTTGGGAAGACTTTACTGGGAGCCGAATTATCCGCAGAGGTCTCTTCCTTTCCGAAACAAACGGACCTAGTGATTTAAACTGGTGAAAAAACACTGAATAAAGTGGTGTCGTGTTAAAATTAGTGTTTCTCTGTTGCTGTTTGGGCTTGTTGTAGATGTGCAGCTAGCCTAGCACTTGCTAATGTGTGCTCACCTTTTTTCTCTGATAACTTAAGATCCAGATGTTCAGGAATTTTCTTTTTACTGGGAGCCGAAATATCTGCAGAAGTCTCTTCCTCTCCAATACAAATGGCCCTGGTGATTTAAAGTGGTAAAAACAGCCAATAAAGCAGTTTCATGTTACAAATTAGCGTCTCTCTGACGCTGTTTCGGCTTGTTGCAGATGTGTCACTAGCCCAGCATCTGCGAATGTGTGCTCACCTTTTTTCTCTGATAACATAAGATCCAGACGATCAGGAAGTTTTTACCGGGGGCCGAATTATCCGCAGAGGTGTCATCCTTTCCAAAACTAACGGACCTGGTGTTTCAAACGAGTAAAAACACTGAATAAAGCAGTTTCATATTACAAATTAGTGTTTCTTCGATGCTACTTCAGCTTGTTGCAGACAGGGTGCTAGCCCAGCACCTGCTGATATGTGCTCACCTTTTTGCTCTTGTAACTTAAGATCCAGACGTTCAGGAGGTTTTTACAAGGAGCCGAATTATCCGCAGAGGTCTCTTCCTTTCAAAAACAAATGGGCCTGTTGATGTAAATTGTTAAAAACATCGAATAAAGCAGTTTCACGTTACAAATTAGTGTTTCTCTGATGCTGTTTGGGCTTGTGGCAGACAGGCCGCTAGCCTAGCACTTGCTAATGTGTGCTCACCTTTTTTCTCTAATAACTTAAGATCCAGACGTTCAGGAGGTTTTTACTGGGAGCCGAATTATCCACAGAGGTCTCCTTCTCTCCAAAACAAATGGACCTGGTGTTTCAAATAAGTAAAAACACTGAATAAAGTGGTGTCGTGTTAAAATTAGTGTTTCTTTGATGCTGTTTGGGCTTGTTGCAGATGTGCCGCTAGCCTAGCACCTGCTAATGTGTGCTCACCTTTTTTCTCTGATAACTTAGGATCCAGATGTTCAGGAGGTTTTTACTGGGAGCAGAATTATCCGCAGAGGTGTCATCCTTTCCGAAATTAACGGACCTTGTGTTTCAAACTGGTAAAAACACTGATTAAAGCAGTTAAACGTTAAAAAAGTCTGAGTTTTTTCTACACTGCGTGTCATGGAGGGGCTACTTACAACAATGGCCGATGCAAAAACATGAATGGCTCTATCTAGACCCAATGTTTGGTTTGCCGTTGCGGGCTACTGTAAAAACATGCCGATATCTGTGGACAAGGATCCACCCATAGTGTAAACATGAATGGCTCGCTCTAAGGTAACAAAAACACAACTGTTCTTATTTTCAGGTGATTGTATACTAAAGAGAACATTCTTATAATACTACATTCCTTTTCTGTCAATAGACCCCCTAAATCCTGCACACTGGACCTTTAATGATCTGGGTTTGGAACGAAAGATCCTCCACATCAACATAATCTGTTCTGGTGCTGTTAAAAACCAGGCAGTCATGCAGTATTTTAACCTTAAGTAAAGGTTAGTCAAGCCCCATTCGAGCAGTTACACTTACTGTACATATTTTACATGGAAGTTAGATAATCAAGTGTTAATGGATACAGTATAATACCTTGTGCGAAGTAAGTTGCATCAAGAGTGAAAGTCTACCGCTCGCTGACCTTTACATGTGGTCCTTGTGACTAATGTGTTCTCTTACGGTACAGGTGTGTCTCTGAATGTTGCCTGAACATTTGTACATTGCTCTTCATCATATTACATTGGTTGAACGTTTATTAACTCTTAGAGTTTTCTAAATCAGTCAATTGTCTTGATTCTCCTTTATCTGACTCATTGGAAGGTAATTCCTCCAGCGATGTGTTTAAGTCGCCCCTGCTGGGCTGAGCGTTAGCAGGCTGGGGCAGTGGTTGTGTCCCGTTCACACACACCACTGTCCCCTCTGACTTGCTGAAGCTGAACAGCTTCCCAGGACTGAATGTCCTGTTGGGGGACTGTGACCTCTCCTGGCTACTAGGGGAAACAGAGGAGGTCACTGTTGAGGCTGGAGCTCCAGCTGCCACCGCTGGCTCCTTTTTCATCTCAGGCGACTTCAAGAACTTGAGAAATCCTGGGAGCTTCGCCTCACCTCCTGTTGGGGACTGAGCTGGTGAGCGAGACGTGCTGGAGGAAAACTTCCCCTGCAGAGGGATGATCTGCTTCAGCTTCATCACATTGTTGTTCCCCAGCAGAGAGCTAGGTCTCTTGGGTTTGTCCCCTGCCTTGCCCCCCGGTGCTTTGTCGTGGTGGTGCTGGTGCTGCGTGTCTGCCCTGTGGTCGCTCTCCTGACGGGCCTCGGCCTGCAGCTCAGCCTGACGCTGGAGCTCCTCCTCTTCACGCCGGCGTCTGAGCTGCTGTTGGAAGTGCTGCTGGGCCTGCTGCTCGTGCTTCTACATGGGGAGGCATGTTTAAATGAAGACACAGAGGAGGAGAGAGGAAGAGTCACGGACAGAAAAAGACAGTGAAACAGGAAAAGAGAGAAGAAAACTGTACCTGAATAGCCTTCAGCTATAACACATATCTATCTATCTATCTATCTATCTATCTATCCTGTGAGGTAACGTTGTTAGCAGTTATCTATCTTTAGATGTGTGTACATAGAGTAACTGTGCCTCTGTGCCCTAGTTGTCATCCTCTCCAGCAGAGAGCTCACACAAACACAAACAAGTTGTGTTTACATTAAATATGCTGACTCCTGCTCATAGATGGGCTCTTTTTTTTTTAATCTCGACAAGACTCATCAAAAGCCTCTTTCACACATGCAGTGTATCTCTGAAACGTTCAAGATCATTTCCTGCATGGAGTCGTGTGAATGGGACTCAAGGATTGATATTCAGGAAATCTGTACTGCCAATTTCCCAACTCAGAGCCTTCTGATACTTGTGAGAAAATGTCGGCACAGCTGTGTTGTGAGTGGAAGCTGCAGCATTGCAGAAACAAGCATGTAAAGGTCTGTCTGTCTTTTTTGTCTCCAGCTACATACACGTACATCCAGCCTACCCCCATCTTCTTCTTCTGCTGTTGAGTTTTATGGCTGCTGGCATCCATATGTGTTGTATACCACCATCTGCTGCACTGCCCTCTGCCCTATCTATTCCAGCATTGCTATGGCATGCGTTAATATCCATGAGACAAAAATGTTACTGATCAAAATACATGTGTTAATAGTGAAAATCACTAGCAGTGTCCAATTTATTTACCAGTAACGATGTGTGAGAGGATTAAGACACCACTGAGATAAAGGCCACTGATGTGATAACAACACTATACAGACAAAGAAACATATACAGTTTTTTCCATTGTCAGTCAGAAAAAGCTGCACTACTGCACAGTTTTTAACAACCCACACCAAAAGGCTGCATGACACAAAGGGGTACGTATATAGAGATATAATATAAACTGCACAGAGTGCAGCCAGCAGCAAGCCTTACGTTGGCCGAAGGTCTTTCAAGCTATGACACAACTATACCTTGAAAGCTTCCCTTCGTCGGTACTCTAGCTTGGCCATCTCTTCTGCAACCCAGCCAGGGATATCAGGGATGGCAACATGGATGATGTACTTTAGGAGGATTGCAAAGTGCTGTAAACCACCAAGACCACAAAGGGACAGGCTCAACACACGGTTAACATCAAGTCACAATCGCATTCTGTTTCTTGTTCTGTTTTTTTTTTACAGACCAAACAACACAACTCACACACATACCAAAAGGTTATGTGAGGTTTTGTGTTCAATAATGAACCTCTGGATCAAAAAAAAATCAGATTCTGAAGGTTTTAAGAAGTCACAACAAAACAGAGCAGGCCATGCACATTTTATTTCTTTAGTAATATAATATAAAGTGTCATTTTAGCCCCGTTTCCACCGAGCAGTATGGTTCAGTTCAGGGTGGTACCAATGGAACCGTTCTGTAACGTCCCCACTTTTGGTCCCCCCTCTGTTGGGGTACCTAGCACACAGATCTGGTACTAAAAGGTGGAGCTGTGAACACTGCAGTCTGATTGGTCATTAGAGGACGGTCACTCTGCTCAGGGCTGAGTTGTGTCTGGTTTTGAGGCTCATGTAACCACTGTTCATATTGTGGAGAGTTTTATTAGTAGACTGTGACTATAAAATGAAAGGATGTTTTGCTGCCTCTCACAGCAGCTGGAGTCGGACAAAAATATCTTAACTCATTGGGCCGACTGCTGGCAACTTTTAAGGTGGAACGTTAACTTGTAATGTTACTCACTGCATGAGTTGACGACCTGAATCCATTAGCACACCTTAAATATTCCATGTGACAACTTTGACTATTACTTTAGTTTTTATATGACATACACATTTAGTAATGAGTGGATCTTGAAGCGTTTATATGTATTAATTTCAGCCAGGTTATATAAACTATATATATCTAATCCTCACTCGGAGAGAAAGAAAAAAAGCGTAATGTAGCTTCGGCAACACTAAACCCCTGAGCTTGCCTGAGAAGGACTAAATGCACAAACCCGCTATTTTTTTTTAAAGATTTTTTTTTTGGGCTATTTGCCTTTAATGTACAGGACTGTGTGAAATGGGAAGACAGAGAGTTGGGGGGCGACATGCAGCAAAGTGTTGCAAGCCGGGGTCGAGCTTGCGACCGCTGCAGTGAGGCATAACCTCTATGCATGGGGCACTGGCACTATCCACTAAGCTACCAACGCCCCAAACCGGCTATTCTTAGATGTCTCATGGAGAGAGACTCTCACTGCAGCCTGTTTTATTTTGTTCTGAAAATGTTGGCATGCAGCCTTGTTCTGCGGACGATAAACAAGGTGCAGATTTACAGCGAGTGCTGGACCGAACAGTGAGTGACAACAACCACACACACATTTAAGGTCACTGTTTGTGGTGGAAAAGCTAGGGTACCATGTCTGAAGGGTGACTTTAGGTTCCAAAGTGTTTGGTGGAAACGGGGCTTTAGTCCCTTTAAAACTCAACTCTTCATGGACAAACCTGCATTTATCACACACACAGCGCAGTGCGTACCTCCAGTAAGACGATGGAGATGATGGTCATCTCAGGACTCAACCAGGGGAACAGACGCTGTAGCTGCCCACACTGACCAATCAGGTAACAGTTAACTATAATGGCTATCAAACCCATGGCCTCCATTGCAGTCTGACGTTGAGAGAAAGAGAGAGTAGAGATATTTACAGGCTGTCAGATTCCCTCACTGTGAACAAAGCAGCCTGGCGGGCTCTTCTGACATTTCCCCAAAACAAAACCACACTGACCTGCCACTGTCCGATGTTCTCTACCCTCTGTCCAAAGGGTCTCTGCAGGCCGGTGCAGAGCTTCAGGGCGTCACTGCGGATCTCGATGATGTTGTTGATAAGAGCACACATGGCCGCCAGGGGAAACGCAGAGGAGAAGAGCACCACGTAGCCAAACTGGATGAACATTTCCTGGTAGTCCTGAAGCGTATCCTGTCAGGGTGAAACATCATGATATATAGATGATTTTGTGTGATGCAAGGTTGAAAAGTAAAATTAGAGTCCCAGAAAATTAAGAGTTCCACCTCGTATGTCTGCATGCAGCTCTCAATCTCAGCCTGGGTCAAAGTGACAGTTTTGGGTTCCTCTGGTGGATCCATCCATGACTTCTTATGCTCTTTCTCCTCACTGACGTTCTTTCTTTTCTGACACAGAGACTCAGATTCCTTTGGAGAGGACACAGTGGAATACTTGTCAGTTTACAGTGCTTCCCTTACAAAGACACATAGTTTCATTTTGATCTGTCAGTGTACTACCTGGATGATTTTATATCAATCACCACAGTCACGATATCACTTAAAGACGACCTATTATGCTTTTCTGTATTTTCTGTTTTACTTACAGTGCTATAGTTTCCTATCGCTCTGAACAATCTTTTTCCAACAGTTTTTTCAACGCTGGCCAGATTTCTTTAGATGGCTATCTGCTCCAGGCATGCTACTGCAAGTGTTTATATTATGTAGCCTACTCTGCTAAATGACACTACATGCTAACATCAGGGAAACATGTAATCTTGGTGTATTGGAAAGAATTGAGTATAAAAACATATTTATGTTTCTTTAAAAAAGTGGTAAGGTATCATTTCACACAAAATCACTGATTGAGATGGAGTGGAGTTTTTTAAGTAGACAAAGAAGCCATAATCATAAACTATTATAACAAATCGACCACATACTTGAGACAGCGATTCACAGTCGCTGTCCTCATCACAACTGTCAAAAATGCTTGATGGATCCATCCCTTCCTCCACCAGTGTAGGACTGTCCTCAAGGCAGCTGCGAGCCACCGGCAGCGTTTCTGTCATGACATCCTGGTAGTCAACCTTCTCAGTGAAGCTGACTTTACGTTGCTTCAGATTGCTGTCGTTCATGTCCCACTCCTCTTCTGTCAGCCTGAATCCAGCTTTCAGATCCCCTCTTTTCTTCTGCTCTGGGTTGCCGTTAGCAGTGTGAGTGACGGGGATCCCTTTGGGACCCAGGAAGGAGTAGCCTGTCATCGAGGCTTGGGCCTTTCCCAGAGCTAGGCGGCCGTACTTGAGTATGATGGTCTGGAGCAGCTCCCACAGCACTTTGGGGGTAAAGACGCCCAGCTTGTTTTGCTCGTAGAGATAAGGCTGGAGAACCTCTTTGATGTTCTGTAGGAACTGGCGGAAGATCAGTAGAGTGGCTAGCATCTGTGAAGAGCAGGACAACATCTGTTACTGTGCTGAATGTGAGAAGTGCAAAACAGGAAACACATGCACACATTCAAAAAGCACATCTGATGTAGATATTCAGTCTGACTGAAAGTACAAATGCAGGTCACTGCCTGACATGATCCCACGATACCTACAGCATGTGACACACCACATGACATTTAAGGTGTACTATGTAACTATGTAACTCTTCATATAATATTCTTCCTCTTACAAATGAGAAGTATAATTGATTAGTGATAAAATGCACCTATTCAAAACACTCAGGGGTTTTGCTGCTGAAGCCTTACTCGGTCTGGTATGGTAGCTAATTTTAATTCCACTTTTCTGTAATCATCATTTGCTACACCCTCCCCCAGAACAGTGACTGTCCAATCATGTCAATCATGTCCACCATCCACCAAAGAGAACTGGATACACCTTTTGAGGCAGAGCCCTGTTCTTTTCAACAAAAGTTGGAGCTCAGTGACACATGAAGCCAAAAGAAATGGGAATAAGTCTTATTGGGCCCAGTGGCTTCACATAATGGAACCGGCTCTGTTCCTTAGGACACAGTCAAGCTTTGATTTTTAAGATGCTATTGTGAGCTGCCTAACTAGCTAACCAACTGTAGTAGCTGAATAGCATTATGTACAGTGTGGTATTTTATTATTGTGTAGCTGAACCTGGATGCTATCCATGTTTAGGGTAATGTTAGGAGCTCTATACTGCTCTTTCTTGGACGACTCCTACAACATTACCTTAAATAGCATTACACAGCAGCATTTAAAAAGCCTTTTCTCTTAGAACATTAAAAGTAAAATAATGTTTGAAATTATGAGTATGCAACAAATAGGTAAGCTTAGCAGCCAAACAGGGTAATAATGAAATTATCTCACATTTTTCCTTGTCATACTTGTAATGCTAGGACCAATTTGCTATACACTGCAATGAAAGATCAGTGCTATCTATTTGTCCTCTACATCAGAGATTCTAAACTAGTGGTCTTGGCTAAAGTGTGTGGTGAGGAAATGTGCTCCTAAATGCATTCAATTTGGATTCATAATGGCAGGCAGTGATGCTGAGGCGCTGTCAAATGAGGCGCTAAATTCATAGAAGCTCCAGAGACACTTAAACACTAAGCAGCTGGGATGTGTTGAGAAGCCAAAAGAATATTTACTAAGTAAAGAGGGACAGGCTTCAGACACAACAGAAAGTCATCATTAACAGGGACACTGGCATTATACAGTCAGGTCCATAAGGATGAAAGCTTAAGTGTTTGGGGCACCATTATCTGCTCAGATTCAACCAAATGCTTCAAAACTCATTGGACGATGCTTCACAGTGCAGATGGACAATGACCTGAAGCATATTGCAAAAGCAACCAAAGACATTTTTAAGGCAAAGAAGTGAAATGTTCTGCAATGGCCAAGTCATATCATCTGACCTGAATCCAATTGAGCATGCGTTTCTCTTGCTGAAGCCAAAACTGAGGGCAAAACACCCAAAACACAAGCAGGAAGTGCAGACGGCTACAGTAAAGGGCTGGCAGAGCATCACCAGGGAAGAAACCCAGCATCTGATGATGCCTATGTGTCCAACACTTCAGGCAGTCATTGACTGTAAAGGATTTGCAACCAAGTATTAAAACTGACTGTTTAACTGATGATTATGTTAGTTTGTCCAAATACTTATAGGCCCTTAAAGTTGGGGGACTGTGTGAAGAAGTGGTTGTCATTCCTACACGGTTCATACTACATTTTTGAAAAAAGCCTTAAATGAAAGCTGAGAGTCTGCACTTTAAGCAGGTATTCATTGTTTCATTTAAAACCCATTGTGGTGGTGTACAGAGCCAAAATGACGACAACTGTATCATTGTCCAAATAATTATGGACCTGACTGTACATTCTTCTTTATCATGTTATGTTTTTTAACATTTGTTTGGGAAGGTGGTCCTTGGAAATTTTTGACAATCAGAAGTGGGCCTTCAGTTCCAAACCCCTGGTCTACATGAATCATCAACTGGTGAGGATGCTGACTTTTGGCCTGTTGCAGCTTTAGCCTTAAGTGTGTACTTAAAGGGATAGCGCACCCAAAAATGAAAATTCAGCCATTATCTACTCACTCATATGCCGAGGGAGGCTCAGGTGAAGTTTTAGAGTCCCCACAGCACTTGCGGAGATCCAAGGGAAGAGTGGGTAGCAGCATAACTCCACCTAATGCAGGCTTACGGTGCCCCAGATTCAAACGTCCAAAAACACATAAAACCACACAATATCTCCATACTGCTCGTCCGTAGTGACCCAAGTGTACCTCCTCTCCCCTGGGATCTCTGTGTTGTGAGGACTCTAAAACCTCACCTGAGCCTCCATCGGCATATGGGTGAGTAGATAATGGCTGAATTTTTATTTTTGGGTGCACTATGCCTTTAAGAGCCTGTTCACAAGATTCTTGTTTTGAAACGAGTCAGCTGGAAATATCAGAAGTCCACCAGAGGCAGCATTTCCAGTCAACTAATATAGCTAACGTTAGCTTCATTCAAAACAAAATCGAGAAGCCTGCTTCTATCTGCCTCTGTCTGAAATCAAGGACCAATTGTTTTGAAATGACCAAGAAACCATGTGACAATGGAAAACTTACCAGGCAGACATAAGCTCCTTTTACACTGCCTGTTCAAGGTGGGAATGTCACGCTATTATGCCACCTCACCGTTCTGTACATAAGGTACAATCGTAGAATGGGGGTCAGAATTGTCTCGCCTTTAAGCTGCCACAGGAGGTAGTAACAACACTGAAAGTGTGTCTGTATAAACAGGACAGCCAGCAGGATGGGACCATGGGCAGGACAGGTGTGGCGTTTTTGATGACGTGTTATGTGTGCAACCCACCACAGGAGATTTAAAAAGTAGATGATAGCAGTTAGTGGCTAACTCAAAGAAGAAGAACAGTGGCTGAAAATGTCCGCAGATTGGGAAAACAATGAGGTCCGGGAGCTTCTTACCCTCCAAGCAGAGGATGAGATCAGCCGCCATATCCTCCTGAGACTCTGTGTCCTCGTATGAGGACATTACATTTTGGGTTTACTTGACCTTATACCTCATTCTACTTAACTCAGACCTCTTGTCCTCATTCGTAGACACTCTTTTGTGCCATGTGGTGGTAGTAAGACCACAATACACTAATCCATGTAAAAACAAGATGGCAGCCATCTCTGCCAAGTCAGTCTGCTGCCGATGCCATCACAAAAGTGGACAAGGTCCAAAACCTGATCAAATTTAGTGATTGAAACTTGTTTATTTATGATTAATAATGTTTGTAGTTTGATATGCCATACAAAATTTGGCCAATTTTAGCAACAGTTATGAGCTAAGACACTGTTTATTAGAAAGTACTTGGGAATATTCAACCTGTTAAAGGACATTTCAACTTTATTAATGTCTCGTTTGAGGACAAATAATTAGGAGAAATTAAAAATGCATACCAAACAAAAGTTCAGGTCTCAGGAGGATATAACAGAGACAGTAAATAATTGGTGTTACCACGTTAGCACCATTGTTATTGCTTATAAAGTGCTGCCGACAACACACGTGAGACTGGCGCTGCTGTGTTAAACACCAAGCCTGTCACGCCTCTTTTTGTTCTGCCATACCGGTATACTAAGTAAAATCACACACCAGAGCGTAATGATGCTGCTGTTGTTTGGTTCTGTGTAAAGGCATGGAGAAGGGACTTAATAGCGCCCCAATAGCGCCATCTCTGTGTAAAAAGGGGCATAGTAGCTTTGGAGGGTAGGAGGCTTATCAAGCAGTCAGTTGCAACTTTTGGCCCCAGTCGCCACAGCTCAGCACAAGTTACATATTGTCATTTTGATGCCAATATTTTGTCTAATTGTTTGTGATTCTGCCAACTGTTGTTGTTACCTCCTTCAGTCGCTCCATGTCCTTGAGGTAGAATCCAATGTAGAAAAGGCTAAGGTACGAATTGATGAATTCAAACTGCAAAACAACCAGAGCACATCAAACAGGAAGTCAAACAGATGCTCAGTCATGATGAATCGTCTCTAATCTGCCACAAACAGAGGAGGATGCATGACTTACAAAAACCATCTTGATGATGAGATTATTCTCATAGGCACTCTGAAGTCTGTAGTTCTCTGGATGACGAAATAAAGAGTAGCATTTGTTAATGTGCAGCTGGATGACAGTGACCACATGACTGCTTTTCCTTTAACTGCCTCATAGAGAATGCGAAGGACAGGAATCTCATAGCTAAAAGCTCCCTACATCAGTATTCAGCCAGCATTAAAATATACTCATACATACTTAAAGAGTGCCTACCCAATAATTATTATCACAGGCAAAAATGTTCCATTTTAATCTGATGTCTTGTAATGTAATTCCTTTATTATATATTACAGAGATAACATTTTGTGCCTGGAGAGTTCATGTGGTGCTTCTTACCCATGTCATTAAGCCAGTAGGCAATCTTCTTATACACTTCATCGCATATGGTCACAGTAATGGCCAGAAGTATCTTAGGAATGAATCTTGTGATACCAGGTAGCTCCTGAATCTCCATCACCACTTCCTGCAAGGTGCATTAGAATCATGATAAATATTTAATAAGTCCTATTCATTCATATCCATTCCCAAAGCTATTTTTAAGAGACTATTAAATTAATATGAACTGGCAAGATGTATTTGGATGTGCTTTGTTTAACCTCTTGAGTTTTTCTGATAAACTGTAGTTCCACTCTTTCTGTCTTGGTGCTGATTAAATGTTTTTATTGATGTTTTTGGGTTTTAAGTCTTCACAATAATTACATTTATAGAATATCATCCCCATTTATCAGCTCCAGACTGTATCAGCTCCATATCTGCTGTGTTATCTGTTCAAACCTGCAGTTCCAGGCAGAGGAGCATGGCGAGGAAGACAAAGCAGAGACAGAGAAGGCAGATGGGCAGGCTGACCAGCCATCTGAACAGAGCTCTTTTCCAAGGTGGGTAGTAGAACTCCTCACAGCCCGTTATGGGACTGCAGCGCTTCACTCCCTGTGGGGACAGCAGAGGAAGAGAAAACCAGAAACCAGGGAGAGCATTAGGGATGTTTGGTTTTGTGCATGATTGTAATCATCTTCACTGGAAAATGGATCGGAAACGTTTCTGCAAAATGTGCTCCATAATCCATAATCACTGCTCGTTTGCTTGATTGCATTTCTGCTTTTGCTGTTGCGTCTCAGGTTACATGTCAGTTTTCAGAAAACATCTGACATTACAATTGAAACACCAATTTATATTTTCAGGTTGTCTGGTGTGTTTTACACAAGCGGCAAACTCCAGGGGCTGAAAAATGAAGCCGAAAAGCAAAAAACTGCAGTACCTGTAATGGCCACTTGAGGCTGGCTCCAAAGGCAAGTCAGTCCCCATAGACCTTAATGCTACAGCCCGCTGCAAACACGGTTTGGTCTCTAGAGCTAATTTCCCTGTTCACAACAATTTCCAGGGGTCAGTATGTATATAATATTAACTCTGTCTATTGTCTCAGATGCTTAAAATATAAAAGTAACACATACCAAAAACTAGCAATAGACTTGATTGTAGAAAACAAGTGTTGCACGCTCTGGCTCCATATGTATTTCTTTTATTTAGATGACATTTCGGCCTTAGGGCCTTCTTCAAGATCAACAAGCTTGTTGATCTTGAAGAAGGCCCTAAGGCTGAAATGTCAATGACAAGCTTGTTGACCTTGAAGAAGACCCAAAGGCCAAAACGTCAACTAAATAAAAGAAATGCATATGGAGTCAGAGTGTGCGACACTTGTTCTCAACAATTGAGTTTCAGAGGCTTCCATCAGGCCGGAGGTTTTGCCTCCCTAAATGTAGCACCAAGCATTACAGATCGTCCTTTGTCTTGTCTATCGCTTATCTTAACCAGCAGTGACCACTAATTGTCCATGATTTACCCCTGACAGTACGTGACGCTGGATTCTGTGTATTCATATTGTACTGTCTGTTTTGTTGTACTCATGACTATGTTCTGTATCTCAAATTGCCCCAAAAGGACATTTAAGTTTACCTTACCTTACCTTACCTTACCTTACCTTACCTCGCCTGTTTAAATGTTAATAAGGCTTGACGTTATTCATAATTAATGGCATGGCTGCTTTAAGTGACAGGTGGTCACTACCACGGTGTCAACACTGATCATGTCAAGTGAATGTCTTGTAACCCTAGATTCACAGAGTAAAGGTGTAAGCCAAATCTGTAGCTGTTGCTGTATCAGTGGGTTTTCAGGTCATGCAAATTAATAGGAACATTTTGGTCACCCTAAAAAGAGCAAGTAACAAAACGTGTAGCTCAGCATGTGGCATGAACAATGACGTGGGAGGGAAGCCGTGGCTGGTCAGTCCTTCATCGATTCTCTCGTAAGTCAGCCCGTACAGTGTCTTGCCACTAGCTGCTCACTAATTCCTGCTATCAGCTGTTTCCTGTTTATCCACCGCCAGTGGGTCACATGTGCGGCGTCATCAACAGCCCCTCCCGTTGCGGAAGGCCGCCTTGGTCTGTTTAAACTAAAAGGGTTCCGCCAATATGACTACCCTATGAGGCGTATAATTGGGCACCTTGGATCAACTCGCCAATCCGGCTCTGTGTGTCTAAACGCTCGCAGCTTGCCGGTAAAACGGCCCAACATTCGCGGAAAATCTGCCAGTGTAAAAGGGGCTAGTGTCATCTAAAGTAGCTTTGACAAAAAAAAAAGGCAGAACGAATTGTTGAATTTTGCTCTCACTGCGCGTGATGCTTTGCTATGCCATCTGTGCCCACAGTATGCTCTGCTGAGAGAGAGGAAGGGAGGCAGTTCCAAAACTAGAAAATCTATATGTGGCAGCACATGCTAATGTTGTGGTGGTGCACCACAAATAAATTAATGTGTACCAAACCCTGCTTCTGGCTCCAAAAATCCAAGATGGTGACAGCCAGAATGCCAAATTTGAGGCTTCCAAATAAGATTCTACAAACCAGTGGGTGACAACATGGCTACAATCATTTTTATACAGTCTGGAGTATTACATTGATATAGCTGCTCTGTCTTTACAGCTTTCTTTAGGAGCTGACATGCATTCAAGATGTGATTGTGGTGGACCACATACCACATCTTCTTTCCTATCAGTCATACTCTTACTTACCATGTTGTTCTGGCCAGAAGTCCCTCTCCAAAACACTATCGCCCAACGTGGGGCTCGAACCCACGACCCTGAGATTAAGAGTCTCATGCTCTACCGACTGAGCTAGCCGGGCATGTTTCACCCCATTTCCACATGCCTTTTCAAACGGGTCACCCATATCCCCTCCCCCCAATTTTCTATTCACTCCACGCAACAAGAGGTGGTGGGGGGGCGGGAGAGAGGCCGCCTGCTCCCCTCCTCTCTGAGAGCACGTGGAGTATGAAGACACACTCCTCTTGTAAACATAACGATCACATTTCCTGGTATTGTGAGCTGTTCCAGCCACGGTAGAGTTGCGCAACTGCTTGCTGATAAACCACTCAGCCAGACTGACAAACACTGCAGGACAGTGGAGTTGGTATATTGAAATATGAGAATATACTCTATGTAATGTGACAGTTGATGCAGGACACTTGGTGAGAAATCTGCCGCTCTGTTGACAAGTGACTGTGAATGTTTGGGAGTAGATCTGAGCAAATACAGCTGGTGGTGAACAAAACCTTTTGTACACCACAACAAAACAGCAGCTGCTTTGTTCATTCACGCACTATGCTCAAATTTCAGTAACAATCCTCACCCTGAACTGCGGCCTGGGCTCCTCCAAGGACTCTGCGGGGGTGTCCAGGGTGCCCCACCTGTAGGCCAGCTCCGCCTCTCGCCTCTTCCAGCGCTCCAGAAACAGCGTCGCCCACACAACATTGAAGAGGGCAAAAACCACACAGCAGATATCCTGGCTGGTCTGTGAGCGAGCATGAGAGAATCAAAAGATACTTATATAACCTTTGAGAGTACGATCGTGCCAGGCAGTTTTCAGTTGCCAAAGCCGGTACTGTTTTTCTGTGTAGGTACTACGTGCTGTGAATCTCTATTCTTGTCTTTACAAAGCACACAAAGGAAATAATATAAAATGTACGAGCACAGACAACAAAACAGACAAAATCTCAGTGATTTTCAGTAATATTTCCTTTTTTTGATTGATTAGTTTCTGCAAATTCACCAAATCAACAAATCATCATCTTGACATAAGACAAGAGAACATCTGTGCTGGAATCTGGATTTTAGAGATTAAAAAGAAAACAAGGCAACAAAGCTAATTATATTTTCACTCAAGAGAACAGAGGAAAACTCCATGTAACTGTGTGTGTTCTCTGTTCACTCGAGAGTCTGAAGATTCAGATAAATGCCAGTATAATCCGAAACAAACTGTGCGTTCTAATACCTACACTATCATACTATATAGTATGCCAGAGAAATATTTAGTATGTCCCAATACATAGTATGTCAAATGCAGTATGCCAAAAATACCAGGATGTTCTACTACATCAGGTCCGAGCATGCTTTTCTGGCGTAATGTTATGAGATAATAGATAATAGTATGTCCTACATGCAACAGTACACACATTTTAAGAGCAGCTGTAGTACATACTGAAAGTAAAAAGAAAAAGTATGCAATACGGAAAGCACCTGAAGTTTAGAACAAAGATAGGAAGTTTCATTAATGAAGTGTTCACACACACAGAATCATCATTCAGTCACTCCTGTACTTGAGAAAATATTTTTGGCTTTGAGCGTCTTTGTGTTTGAGCATACGCTGATTAAATTTTTTATTTTATTTGTTACAGACTTTGTTGTTTTAAAAAACTTTTTAGGTTTGTTTTATATATTTGAGTATGGGGTGGGGATCACCATAGGATCCACTATATGATACTATCATGATACTTAAGTCACGGTACTATATTATTGGGATTTTAAACATGTTGCGATATGCTGAGTATTGCGATAAAATATATTGCCATTTATAACCTTTCTTCAACTGTAAATTATGTCACCAGAGAAAAACTTTGTCAACATCAATGGTTTTAACTAATAAGATAAAGTTTTCAGTCTGTTCATTTTACCCCAGCCATTTTTTGCAGTAGTAAAATGTATCGAGTGGACTGGAAAAGCAATTGATTATATTATTCTAATAGAGTCAGGTGTGTGGAGTGGGAAGCAAACACTTTTTGACCGTGTTTTGGTCAAAAAGCATGAAGTACTGGCATGTAAAACTGAATGGTGAGCATGCATATATTGTATTGTATATTTATTGGTTTGTCAGCTCAGAACACATGTTGGGAACAAGTTCACCCGTTTGCCCCTCAGTGGCTTGTTTAAACATTTAGTTTTGCTGAAAGCCACTACACTATGCTTTATCAATTTTTTTCCCCTACCCCTAGTCATAGGGCCTTTACTCTGAAGGCGTAATGAATAAAACGTGTAATGCTCAGCTAAGAATATTTTACATCAAAACTACTCATATTTGCAGCAATGTGAATTTGCAACAGAGGCAACACTTGTTCAATAAAAAGTTTGAGTAGAATGTATGAGTAAAGTGTTACACATTTTATATGTCGAGGGCTTTTATTGTGAAAGGTAAGAACTGAAGGAGTGGATCCACTATGCGCTGCCTTTGTCAAGGTTAAAAGGAGTAATAAAGTTTGCTGTCTTGTCTTATTTCCGACTACAGAGCCTCCGTGTTGTTTGTCGATGCTGCTCCACACCTTGTCCTTGGGTTCATTATCTTATAATTTTCTGTGTTCTTTGTCTTATTATGCAGGGCGCTGAGACACAGTTATATTCAGCAATATTTCATGTGCTTAAAAAGATAACAAATCTTGTTATAGAAGACGTGTCAGGTACCTGGTCAGCCTCAGCGAGTATCCAGAGCAGAAAGCCGATGACAGCAGGGTACAGCATGGAGTTAGTGTAGAAACCCAGCCAGGCAAAATACATGCCGATCTTCACTCCAAAGTAGTCACAGATATCGTCTACACAGCAGATGACAATTCAAACAGCTCTTATTAGACTCTGAGAAGAAAAATGATCATGTCTCAAACAGTTACATTAACAACACACTCATTATTTTACAGCATTAATGAATGTGACTTGGTATAAACAGTCTCGCACCCAGGGGCTGCCTCTCACACACAGCCTGGACCCATGATGTCATCAGCTGGTTGAGGATCCTCTGCTCTTGGAGAGGAAACATTTGATGGATCACCCCTCGAGCTTCCAGCTCTGGAACTACAGAGAACAGATCGTGAAACTTTCACATGGTATCTAAAGTGATATCTGAACATGTAACGTTATACATAAAACCTCCTGCACAAAGCACTGAGGCTTTAAGATATACGAGTGAGAAAAAAAACAGCATCAAAAAAGTTCAATCATAATGACGACAGCTTACTGATTGGCTGTCCCTCCAGGAAGTGAATGTTGTGGAGCACCTCCCCCTGTTTGGCTCGCAGATTGTCCAGCCAGTACTTGATGATGCCCTGACGCTCCTGAAAACATTACAGTCATAGAGAGAAAGAAAATATGAGTATAAAATGTAGATATTTATTTCCTGAAATATAACAGTATAAGACAGACAAAAAGAATCTTTAATAACCAAAGTAACATTATGTATCTCATTAAAACAGCTTTTACATACAGCTCACACCCTCCACAGTTTAGACCTCTAACCTGCGATGTAAAAAAGCAGAGCTCGCTCTCTATGTTCTCATAGATGTTGTCCTCCTCGCAGGAAAAGCGCCGCATCCCGCCGCCAAACTGCGGTTTGACGACCTTGTGCATGCCCATCTGCTCGGCTCCCCGCAGTAAGCTGAGGGTGAGGAGAGAGGGGTAAAAGAGCAGCAGGATTAAACATGATGGAGCACCGACACTGTGTAGCTGCTGGACTGCAGATGTTTGAAAGATTAAGTGCATTAAGTCACACACAACAAACTGTGACACATGCACAACGGTAACGGGATGATAACTCATTCAGGATTTTCTGAAGCGTGCTTGAAGGACAGTTTGACATTTTGGGAGACAAAATGTTGATACGTCTCTCATGTGTGGGGCTGTGGATTGGCAGTATTTGGCGATACAATATGTATCATGATAGAGGGGTTATGATTCAATATAAGGGATGCACTGAAAGTTTCTCGCCAAAGCCTACCTTTTACAAGGTTACATTTGAACACATCATGAATAGGGGTGTAAATCACAAGTGTCATCACCCTACAATAATACATTGATTCTTTTTGACAATATGATTTTCCTGATATCATGAAGTCTGCCACGATACAATGATTTCAGTAAATATCCTCATTGTCTCTTTGTTTTTGGCTGTTTGCTATTATCTACCTGGCATTAAGCTGCTTGTCCTGTCTTAATATTCAGGAGAGAGGTACACTTGGATGAAATTAAAACACAAGCGCGACATGGGAATTTCAAAATGAAGGCGTATCTTGAAGATGGTGATATGTTTCGATGTTTTTACTTTGCATCAATGATATTGGATCATTGAATCATTATCATATCAATTAGGATCCATATATCATTACACCCCTAATCATAAAAAAGTTCTTATCTACCTTCGCCCAGAAGTTATTTTAACTTAATGGAGCTTGAACTCATCATAATGCAACTCAGTGCGTTCTCCATTAGCTGTTAGCTCCACTGGCTGCTAACAGCTAACACTAACTAGCTCTCCTCCTGATGATTTTAACAAGGATTTGTTGTTCACAATGAAAGTAGCATTATCAGGGAAACAATAAGGTGTGTCCTCTGATGCGCTGATGGTGAGTTTACTGCTTCTGTTCAGGAGAATCTCTGTTCATCCCAAACATGTTTTCTATTGTCCCCAGGCGATGGGATGCCGTTAGTCTCGAGCCCTGCTTTTTAGCCTGCACAAAATTAACGTGACACAACAGAATAACATCGGCCAAGTCATCTTATTTGCCAATTGGCTGATGACAGTCAACAAGGCAAATATCAGCCAATACCAAGCAAGCAAGCAAGCAATAAATCGGTCCATCTCTAATCAATATTTTGCAATATATTGCGGTTCTGTAAGCAAGGCAATATGATGCGATTTTTTAAAAATAAAACACACCACCATCTGCATAAAATCTGAGTTTAAAAACTTTACATTTTTATGTGGTTAAAGCAGAGCACTCCTTGTACACTCCCTTTAAAACACTAGCAATGTCTTGTTACATTGGGTTTAAACCCAACACAAGATAAACCACTGCCATTAAACTATTCATTCAAAATCCATACAGTGTTTTTGAGAATCTATCACAATATCATAAGACATAAAATCGCGATACTCAAGTATATCAGTATTTTCTTACACCCCTTCTCATGTCTGCGCATTAAATATAAAGTCAGAGCTGTTAGCTGATTAGCTTAGCTTAGCATAAAGACTGGAAACAGACCGAATCAGCTCAGCCTGAAGGTAAAAAATGTCTCTACCAGCACCTCTAAAGCTCACTGATTAACACATTAAAACTAATTTGTCTAATCCGTGCAAAAACACAAATGTAACATGCTGAAACTGCTGAATTTTGAATGTTCCCACTCTACGCTGACCATCCCTGGTTGTAGATTCTTGCTGAGTGTACAGACATGAGAGTGGTATCAATTTCCTCATTGAACTCTCTGCATGAAAGTGAATAAGCTCATCTCCTAATATGTTGAACTATTCTTTAATTTGCCAGACTTTTTAACAGTCTTAATAAAACATCCATAACCATATCCGTGTATTGTCTTTTGCCAAACGCATGCAATATACACATAAATACACACATGCTTATGTTTGTTTTGGAAATTTACAGCTGTAAAACTGGGTTTAACTTGACTTCAGTCAAGCAGTTTTGCTGCACCCCGATGCAGTTTAATACTGACGTGAAATGTTTCCACTGACCAAGGAATAATATTCAAATCACCATGACTAACCGTTACTCTGACCTCAGACCTAAAATAAAGTACCAGCACTGATCAGCCACTCAGATAAGTGAGGACTAGCTAAGTGTCTTCACTTAAATAAGTCCAAACAAAGACAGAAACACAAGTGCCCACACATGCATGCACAGTCAGAGAGTGAGTTTGGGAGTCTTACTTCTCAAATGTTGTCGTGATGAAGAAGGCGTGTGCCTGGGTGTGTTTGTGCTGCCGAACCTGAATGCTGACTTGTGGGATTCCGACACGAATCTGATTCAGGAGCCACAGCAGAGTGTGATCATCGATTGTATCTGGAGGGAGAAAAAACGGTTTTATTTTACGTTCCACGGTAAATATGAGCATCAAATACATACTTTAAAACTTAAATTGCTTTGTTTGTAGGGATGTACCGAATGTTTGATGCTTCGTTCATAACATGGTTCAAATTCTAAATCAACATTCTAATACTGCACAGTTTTTTTGCATGTCTATTCATTCTGTTTAAACTTGGTATTTCTGCATAGTTGCAGATAAAGTTTAGGCTACACTAATATTATTTGTATAACACTATTTGTAGAATTAGATTTGAGTGTTGGCTGTGTAGGATAGGATCGTTTCCAACTCGTGTGATCCAAGCGTTTTCAATATCTGAGAGAGTTGTAAAGCTCAAGATAATCATTTCCAAAATTCACAACATGATTTTATCTGACAGAATACTCTGCTTAAAACCATATTTGTTGGCGTTTGGCTTTTAAAAAACAACATTTTCACTGCGATCACAAATCTCCTGCTAGCCGCATACAAAAGAAGGCATGCACCTGTATTAATGGGGCGGTCTAACAGCAATATAAATTACATTTATCCATTTAATTAACAAAAACTAATTTCATCCAATCAATCACTTTATTCAAATTGAGAATTTTGTTTAAGGATTTTTTAGGGGGTTTGACTACATAAAATATGATGACAGACATTCTGAGCTTCATTCGAAAACAATCGATCAGCAATCAATAGAAGCACTGAACGTAAAAGAAATGACATTTGGTTCAGCCCTACATGTTTGCCGAAGGCAGGAAATTATGAGTTTGTTGCTGCATAAAGAGGCTGAACCTAAGCCATCCCTCATGGCCCTGGCAGAAAGGCCCAGAAGCAGTGGGGTGATAGTGATAAGAAAAGGTCACTGCCATTAAATCCCTGTCTACATATATCACAAACATTTTTTCTATAGGTTGAGAAGGCGAGCGACAACCCAGACTAATTCCAGCAGATTCAGCCAACTGCACGCAGTATACTGTCTGTGTGTATTACACTACGACCAATCTATCTATCTATCTATCTATCTATCTATCTATCTATTATTCCTTTGTTTCCATAGACTGATGATGCTTTGGACTGGTCACAATAAAAGGCCACTCTAAAGGGTGCTTTCACACCTGCCCTGTTTGGTTCGGTTCAGTCGAACTCAAGTTTGTTTGCCACCTAAGTGTGGTTCCTTTGGGTGGGTGTGAACACAGCAATCACACTCGGGTGCTCACCAAAACAACCGGACCGAGACCTTCTTGAAGAGGTGGTCTCGGTCCGGTTACAAACAAACTCTGGTGCGGTTCATTTGTGGTGAGAACGTGTTCCGACCTGGATCTGAACCAACTGCAGGACTGCGGGGTTTTTTCAGACCTAATTGTATTGCGGAGTTTTGCACAGCGGCGACCGGATCTTTGCTCTCAAACCACAAAACATGTGATGGCACAACAGTCTCCTTCAGTACATTATTCTATGCTTTCTTTTGATTTTCATATTGGCTAGTCATCCTCTTTAATTTGTCTTCTGATTAAATCTGAACCATTGAAACAAGTTGTAGGAAGCCTCTGCAAGTAATTGGTTGCTGGCAGACACTCTGTGCTGCAATAAAATGGTTAATCAGCAATGCTGAATCAGCAGAGCCGATCCGCTGCTGGTTCTGCCGGCCTGAATAGAATATAATGTCTATAGCCTTACTGTTGTGTGTACAGCCTTTATAGACTGAGCTGAGTAGTGATGTGCGGGTCGACCCGTAACCCGCGGGACCCGCAAATGGACCTGCGGGTCGGGCAGCAGTGATCGTCTGTTAAATCGGTCTGTCAATGATATTTTGACATTATTGGCTATTACTGTCATGGCATCCGAAGGTACTGATGCGTTGAGCAGGTGACAGTCCGCGGTCGTTTTCAAAACGCACTTGTGTCACACACTCCAAAAGAAACTTGTTGAAACTTTAAACAATAATTTATTGTACAAAACGGGGGAAACAAACGTTGACAAAAACGGTTCCATAATTCATATTAAATTCAAAAGATAACGAAAAAACAGCTACAAGTTAGAGGGAATAGTGATAAAGTGGTAAAACTTGGCATTGATCCACAGCCTCAGAAGGATGCGCTCGAGCGTGCCGTGCGCACAAGCTCAGTTGGTAGGCTATACTATATTTTCACATTTTTAACAATGCAATTTAAAAGTTTTGATTTTTTTTTTTTAAGATATTTTTTTGGCCATTCTGCCTGTAATGGACAGGACAGGTAAGTGTGAAGGGGGGAGATTCGAAGCCTTGTACGTGGGGCGCCTGCTCTACCACTAATATTTTTATTGATAACCTACATTTACCAACAACAAAAAGACTACATTTAGCACCAAAAAAATATGTTAAAAAAATAAAATAAAATAAATAAATAAGTAAATAAAAAAACGAATATCGAATACCAAATTTTCATAACGAATACCTACCCACAGAAACGAATATTCGAATATTTGGGTACAGCCCTTCAACTTTGTGACAAAATTAGTCCCCGATTCGGACATAAGCAAGACAACTCTAGGTCTGACAGCACCCTAAAATATCAAGTTTAATCACACAGTATGATGCCACAGATGAAGTTTTGAGGGAGCGTGCCAGCGGCAGGCCTACTGCGGGACTGTCCACATGAGCTGTTGCCATGAACTAAATGTTCATTTTCCTCCCATAAACCAACTCCAATGTTGATTCCGAGAATTTTGCAGTACATCCAACCATCCTCGTAACCGCAGACTATGTGTAACCACTGAAGCTAAGACCCTCCACATCCAGCCTCTTCACCTGCAAGATTGTCTGAGACCAGCCGCCCGACAGCTGATGCAACAGGTGGCTTACACAGCTGAAGAATTTCTGCACCAACTGTCAGAAACTGGCCGTCTCACTAAACAAGTTGGATGTGCTGCCAAATTCTTAGAAATGACACTGGGGACAGCTCATGGTAGTAAAATGAACATTCAATTTACAGGCAACAGCTCTGGTGGACAGTTCTGCAGTTAGCATGCCAATGGCACGCTCCCACAAAACTTTAAAACGTCTGGGGTGCCCCGGTAGCTCACCAGATAGAGCGTGTGCCATGAAGGCTGAGTCCTTACCGCAGCAGCCAAGGTTAGAATTCGGCTCAGGGCCCTTTGCTGCAGGTCCTTCCCTCCCTCCCCTCTTTCATGTCTGTCTGTCACTATCAATAAAGCACAAAAATGCCAAAAAAACAAAAACTTGCGGCATCTGTGTCACTGCTTTGTGCGATAAAAGGAACATTCTAGAGCTGCCTTTTATTGTGACCAGACTAAGACACACCTGTGGAGGAAATGATTTTGTTTAATCAGCACCTTGATATGCCACACCTGACAGGTGGATGGATTACATTGGCAAAGTGCTCACTAACACGGGTTTTGTGAACAAATGTGTGCAGTTTGTGTGCATAGAAAACTATCAGACCTTTTGTTTCAACTCATGAAAAATGGGAGCAAAAACAAAAGAGTTGCATTTATATTTTGTTCAGTGTCGTTTGATGAAATGCTTCCAAGTCACACGCTGATGCCAAGAGCCGCAGTTTAAAAGACACTGCAGATCTGTAGATACAGGTACAGTAAATGGATGAGATCTAATTGTCCCCAGGGATCCTTTTAAGTCCCAGTCATGCGTCTGAGTGCCAAAGACACTTAATGAGGATGCACCGTTCTCTCTACAGTGAGGGATTCATCACAGGACGAACAGCCCGGAGCAAAACGTACCTGGGAATGTCATCAGGATATCACAGTTTTCAGTGGGCACCATCTTCAGCCAGGACTTACGAGACATAATGTAGTGTCTGGCCTGCAAGAGGCGCTTCCCGAACAATTTATCTAGAAGAAAAAAGACGGGCAGCAGGAGTTAATAAAGTTTAAAATGATTACAGAGAATAAATGACAAAGAGGGTCAGACGGAGTGCGTGTGAGAGAAAAAGGGGGACAGACAGATGGTGATATTTTTTCATCAGGGTGATCAAGGACACAGATGACAGGTTAGTCATTAGCATCGCTCTGCCATTCATCACTGATGTATTTTCCTCACCATATTTTCCGTCCTTTCCTATTTTTTGCTCTGTCATGGAGACGTTGGGGGATAAGAAGAAAGGACCAAAATGTTCAAAATATTTGTTCAGCCAGCGTGAAGGTTGACTGCGCTGCATATGCTGTAAACAAACAGATCTGTAAACCGGGTGAAGTGTAAATATTAACAAGCTAGTTTTTCAAGTCGGTCTCTAAAACCATTAAACGTAGACAAAGCAGCAGGCCTTCGCAGCAGTGCTACCCCACGCTACAGCTCTGCAGTCATCACTTCTGCAGCTTCCTTTTTCACACGTTGGTTCTCGCTCAAAAGTCGCACTCTCCGTCACACACAGCCACAATAGACCCCGGCAGTGAGTGACTGATATCTTTATTGTTTGCCGAACCGCCCTGTGACACTCTTTCAGTACGTGTCTGTGATCAGGACATCACGTTCTGTGGCGTAACTGCATTATCACATCACCTACTTTCAACACGCCTTATCCCTCCTATAGAGAGCTGCTTCTGTCACATCTCTCTTCCTGTACTGTGTTTGACACCTACACGCCAACTCAGTATTAAACACTTAATGTACTGTCAGGGAACAATTCAGCAGGATCGTGTTACCGTGTTATTGTGCAGCAGAGTTTATGCGGAGATGCTTTTAGAAATATAATGAGATGTATAAATCACTGAGCAATTCTGCTGATTAAACTGTGTTTGACTGCTTGTGTGTGTGTGTGTGTGTGTGTGTGTGTGTGCCAAAGTGTGTGTGTGTGTGTGACATAATGATGTAATAGAAGCCAAGTCACCAACACTGACAGCTTTTTTTTCTTTGTCTTGCACTTGCTGTATGTTTCAAACACTTCAAAGTGATTGTCTCTCTGACATCAATGCTCATTAAGGCCACAAGATGTGTAGATATTTCTGACATGCAGGCAGCAGCACATCATTCCCATGTATGATGAGATGATTTAATATGACTCTGCAGCAGAGCTAGTTCAGACCAAAGAACTTGGATATGCTGAATACTAGATGTCTTTTTTATTCTTCCTTGTTGCCCTAGGTCGCAATCTATGAAGCCTCCTATTAGGCTAGGCAATAAATTGATTGTTATTGCTTTTAATTGCGTCATGGATTTTTCAGAAAATATCATTAATAATTAATCATGCTTCAGAATTTATGATACAAAGCTGTTTCTAAGTCAGACCCAGTCCAACACTGAGAACATCAGCTGTGAAGCTTGACATATAACTTGCCATAAACAAACATAAAAACATTTCAATCCTACTTGGATCAAACATCTTTATTCAACTTTTGTGGCAGCAGTGTGCAGGTCTTACTTAGTCTTTGCTCACGATATTTATAACGTGTGTAACGGTAAAAGCACCAAGCCGCAACCTCCAAGGCTTGTAAATTAAGCTAGTATGGAAGTGCCAAAAACTGCAGTTCCTCGAATGGCCACTTGAGGCTGACTCCAAAAGCCAGTCAATCCCCACAGACCCTCATAATAAAATACCCAAATATACAGCAGAAATAAACATGTTTACAGCCTGGTTCAATAAACAGTTTTGGTCTTATAGCGAATTCCCCCTTCATGACAACTGTACAGAAGCTTAAAGCTATAGTTGGTAATGTTGGAGAGCTAGCAAGATTTGAAAGTGGTACCTCCTCTGAGCTCCACCCCCTCCTCCCCCTCTCGTCAGTGCTCCGTCCAAAGCCACACCCCCACAAACTTGAACGCGCATCCTGCAGTACACCAACAGAGAAGCTAATGTTAGCATTGGGCTAATACGAGCTACAAAAGTAGCTAAGTTGGCTAACGTTACATATTTCATGAAAATAACAAATCCCCCGAAGCAAAACAAATAATTACCTGTCTAACAGAAAGACAGCAACCTCTGCATCACTTTTCACGCCCTTCAGCTCCCTCAGTTGTCTCCACCGTTCAAAAGCTGCGATGTTGGTTGACTCTGGTTTGTCCTCTCGCTTTATCCAAAGCCTTTTTCGTCGCAGCCTTTTCTGCCTCCAACTTTCTTTTCTTAGCCTGTTTAGCGGGGTGAGCCGTTACAAGTAACACTGGAAGTGGTACTTTTGGCTGCATTTTCGCTGCCACTGTTCAGCAAACTCCTGCTAACTCGGTATTTCTGCTGAGGAGTGTGCTGAATATTTCCAGCAACGGTGACACGTGATGAGTGCGCGCAGGGAGGAGGGAGGGACAGAGGGGGGCTCGGGCAGGACGGGACATCTGATTGGTTCTTTCCACTCGCACCGAGAGGCAGGGATTGGTCAGAGTTTTTACAGGCCTGCAGCTGCCACAGAGGTCGGATTTTTTTCTTTCCTTTTTCTGAACACATTATGTATTGACTACTCTCAGGATGGAAGGACCATTTCACCCACTATAACAAAAAGTGTTTCTGAACAGGATTACCAACTATAGCTTTAAGTTTTATATAACTCACCTGTTCAGATTTAATTAAAGCTTAAGTTACACAAAGTTAAGAATGGGGCCACTTTGAATGACAGGCCATCTACGGCGGTGATTCCCAACTGGTCCACACAGTCCAACATATTGAGCGTCATACTTGCGTTTGGCCATGTCGTTGAGCTAGTTTGCTGTCTCTGTCATGTAGCTGTCTGTTAATTACTCACTCTACAGCAAGGAACAGCTCTTCAAAGTAAAAGCTCTGTGCCAGAAATTTACTGTGCTTGAAAATAAAGTGTATTTTTTACAAACTTGATATGTTCGTGAGTCACTTGCGGTCCATTCAGAATGGACCCGAGACCCACTTTTGGACCAAGACCCACCAGTTGGGAATCACTGGTCACACGGGGTGTCATTTCAGTCTATAGCCCCTTTTACACTGCCTGTTCAGGGCAGGAATATCATGCCGTTTTGCCGCCTTACCATTATGTATAAAAGGTATGATCGTGGAATAGGGGCTGCAGACTTGTCCTGCCTCTGAGTCTGGAATGGAGGTAGTAACAGTGCTGAAAGAATGTCTGTGTAAAAGGGACAGCCAGGGCAGCAGTGCTGTGACGTTTTGATAATGTGTTATACGTACAACCCGCCACAGAAGATTTAAAAAGTAGCTGATAGCAGCTAGCAGCTAACTTAAAGAAGAAGAACAGCCGAGAATGTTCGCACTTTGGGAAGACAATGAGGTCTGAGAGCTCCTTACCCTCCGAGCAGAGGACGAGATCAGCTGCCATATAACAAGGACAATAATGTTGCTGTCATGCCATGCCATGTCATTGTTATTGTTTATAGAGCGCTGCTGATGCATATGTTATATGTCACACTAGAGGCCAATGCTGCAATGCTGGCATACTGTAGTACTGCCCTATAGCACTATCTCTGTGGAAAAAGGGCTTATGAGTCAAATCTACCCCTCGCTCCTCCACAGCTCCAGTCAAGTGTCTTAACATGGCCACCTCTGGCTCCAAAAAAATAAAAATAAAAAAAGGCAACTGCCGAAATGCCATACTCAAGCTTCAAAATGGGAGTCCACAAACCAACAGGTGACATCACAGAGGCTACATCCATTATTTTATTTTTTCACTCGGTTTCATTTATTGAATTATCAACATTATGAATGTCTTGCCAGCCCGGCTCATATCACATTTTTCAATAATGTCTGAGTGTCTAAATTTACTGAACAATCAATCTACCAAGAAGTTCAACCAACCAATCAACAAAAAGCCCACAGTCTTTAACCAGTCACACTGTAATAACAAAAATATTTATGTCGCAGTGAGCCAACAAGAAAACAGAAAATCAATGCACTTATTTATACGAAAGACTATGTCAAGGTAAATCTGATATTTTAATCTTGATACACGGTCATCTCATCCAACATAGTGCATTCCACTTCATGTCACAGCTGGCAGACTGAGTTCATCACACAACACCAACAAGTGTTCTTAAAAACATCCTGTTTTCTTTCGCACTTTAAATATCTATTCTAGAATAATCATTTATCTTTCTGCATGATGATCACTCGTTCAAGTAAACCACAGGCACAAAGCATATAATCGCACTAATGTTGTTGAGGCAGATGCAAGAGACCTAGATGGATTACTGAATGGGCCCACTGGCCTTCACCTGCAAAATGTCACTCAAATTAACACATACCAACCAAGGAGAGACTTAAACTGACTACAAAAGATGGGAAGGAACTGCAAAGAGGCACAGAATAACTAAAATAACAGGCAAAACAACCACAAAATGACCAGAAAGAGACCCAAGATTACCTCAAAGAGTCATAAAATGACCAGTAAGAGACAAAAATGACCAGAAAGAGACATAAAATTACCTCATAGAGACACAAAATTACCTACAGGCGACACAAAATGACCCAAAAAACAAACAAAATCACCTGAAAGAGTCATAAAATGACCAGTAAGACACAAAAATGACCAGTAAGACACAAAAATGACCTCAAAGAGACACAAAATTACCTAAAGGTGACACAAAATGACCATAAATGATACAAAATTACCTCAGAGACACAAAATGACCAAAAAAAGATACAAAATTAGCTAAAAGAGAAACAAAGTGCCCAGAAGGAAATGCAAAATTACCTCAGAGAGACAAAATATGACCATAAAGAAATGCAAAACCCCAAGAAGATGCATTGTGACTACAAAGAGACACAAAACAACAACAAATAAAACTCAAAAAATTGAAAAAAAAAGAGGAAAAACCATCACACCCTGTGTAGTAGAGATAGTGCGGCCTTTTGTCTACCTGTGCCCAGGGGCCCAGTGTCTTATGATCCACCCATGATAAGAGAGGGCGTGAAAGTGTAATTACGAGCATATTATATTTTGTACACCTACATCACCTATCCTGAGTCACAAAAGTTTGGTTGAGATGTTGCCCAGGGTGTTAACATTGGTTGGCTTGAAGTCAAGATGCAAATGAAAGCGACCACTGCAGTGACATTGCTCAGGTTAAGACTGTAAAGGTTATAAGATCACACCCAGATGACCAGACCCTGCCTGAGTCTGTCCTCTTTGTCAGAAATGCTGGATGAGCATAAACTCAACATTTCAGGAGGGGGGCGGGCAGACATGGACAGGGGCCCTGGAACATAATGTGTAATCTCAGAGCCCCCAGAAGTAACATTAATTTTCAGTGCTGCTTCATAATCCTCTTAATGCATTTCCAAAAATAACCAGTCATCTGCTTACTCACCTCTGAGATACTCCTCCTGTCCAGTCCTCAACACCTGAGACAAACCGGACACTGACATCTGAGCCTGCAACACAATCTTTACTCTCTTCAAAGTGTAGCACAGGCCGCCGGGACATGCACCTCCGCTGGCTGCATGTGACTCCTGCATGCACCTGTGGACCACTACAGCCTGACTCTTCCCGGGCCTGCCTCAATCGGAATGCGCACTATGTAGCGGGAAAACGAAAAGACGCACCGACATCAAAACCCAATCACAAACGATTGACCTCTTCTGTGACTCATTCAGTGGAGTGAAGTCTATCAAGCGTCAGTGACTGCACCATATTGTCCATGCACAGCAGCTTAATCTCTTTATCCCCATCTCTTTTTTTTTTTTGCAAATGAACACAAAACACATCTTCCTCACATCCCCGCTGCGCGCTCCCGAGACACAGTCAGTATTCTCACCGTTTTTCTGTGACACTCACCGAGCACTCCGGATGGTGATAAGGACGTCTTCTGCTGCTGCTGCTGCTGCTGCTGGTTGTTGGTCCTGTCCTGCTGCTCGCTTGGCACCGTCCTCTCCATCCTCTCCCCTGCCCCGTCGCTGTCGTCGACGTCTGCGGTGCTGCTGCTGCTACCGTTTACAGTAGCGTCGGTATCAGCTGCTCCGGTGCCCGCCGCTTGCATGGTGGTGGTGCACGAATACTCCAGGTGGTGATGGAGGAGCTGCAAAACCGCACTGCACGGAGGACTCTGCTTTTATTGCATGGCCGTCGCATGTAAAGGGAAACCCTAGTGTATCTGATAGAGTAGGAGGAGGAGGAGGAACATGATCATGGAATAGGCTGTACACGCGCGCACCAGTCGTGACTGGGTGGTGACGACACAGTTGAGGGGAACACCTCGCGGGCTACAGGTCTTATAAACACTGACATATGTGTTGGAGCTGCAAATGCAGAGCTGCAGGTGATTCAGGCGCCCATGCCCACGATTATATTGATCTGGACAAATCTGACGCTGCTGGTCTACATGACAGGGGCGTAAAAATATGCACAGGGCAGGAAGTACAGGGGGCCCGCGGGGTGGGGGAGACTGTAGAAAGAGTGGGCCCTCACCCACTATGTTGGGAAGAAAACGGGACCTTGGGAGTGATTCTGAGGAACTCATGTTAAAGGAGCAGTGTGGAAGATTTAGGGAGCTTTAGTGCCATCTAGTGGTGAGGATGGGCAGCCTGTCCATCCAGCAAACCCTGGACTTCCAACTTGAGAGCCCGGTGTTCGCTTCTCGTGTCAATGTTGAGCCAAACCATGATTTTTTTTTCTAAACCGAACCACATGCTTTTGTTGCACAAGGAAATGACCATAAATATGAGGTGTTTTATCAACGTTGTAAGTGCATTTTGAAAAAGACTGCATGCATCTAACGGACAGAAACTGTACATTTCCGGTGAAAATGTAAGTGTATCTTAAAAAGACACAAAGCATGTAACCATGCCTATGTCATATGTAGACGTGAAAGTCCACTGACAGAACAGCAATATTTGACAAGTTGGAATAAGAATGCGTTGGGATTGCAGATTGCAACCAGCTGAAAGTTCTTCCAGTTAGAATTACTGAAGTTTTCATTGTTCAGGAGGTTTTTCCAGGACCTGCATTGCCCACAGAGGTCTCCTTCTTTCCAAAACAAACACATCCGGTGATAAAAACCAATAAAAATACTGAATAAAGCAATTTCACATAAAAAAAAAATCTGTGTTTTATCTCCAGTGCTGCTCATTGCTGGGGGCTGCAAACTGCGGTGGTCGACATAAAAATGCAAAACTGCAAAAACACAAAAACATGAATGGCCCTATCTACAGCCAATGTTCGGTTTGTCTGTTCTGGGGTACTGTAGAAAACAAGGACCCGCTCCCTATGTAGATATAAACAGCTCACTCGAAGGTAACAAAACCATGGCAATTCTAATTTCCAGGTGATTACACATTAAGGAAAATGTACTTATCATATTTTCTTCTAGTTCTGCCAATACATCCCCCTAAGGCCTTGGATACCAATACAAACAAAAAGGGATTTTTATTTATCCCGCATAAAAAAATTCCAGGTTTACACAATCAGTCGTGAAAACGATATCCCTGTTTACACGAAAACGCAAAAACGGCAGCTTTTTGCTGCAATTAGCATGCCAGGCCAGTGGGTGGCGATACACCATATGTCAAACACCATAGAAGAACGTTCTGCGCATGTACAGTGATTTGTTTTCCTCTTAGCGCTAGTGATAAAAACAATGATAAACTAAATCTTAACCTTATGTAGCATAGTTAGCTGCTATGCACTTACTAATATTGGGCACAGCAGACGTCTTTGTGCACCGATGTAGCGGTGATGTTGATGCAGCAGTGCTAAGTTCATTTGAAAGCTCGTAAGCAGTCCCAAAAGTGCTAACAAAACGTTAACAACCCATCATATATCCACCATTGTTGTTGTGGTTACCGTGCGCCTCATGGGCATACGCAAACTGGGTTGCAACGTCATCGTTTTCCAAAATCTCCGTCTATCCTGTTTACACGTCTCCACAGAAACGGATATTTTTAAAAACTTTCACTTTGGAAGCTGTTTTTAAAAATCTCTGTTTCCTTCGAGAAAAACGCCGGTTACATGTAAATGAAGGGTACAAACGCAAAGACAAATATCCATTTTCAGAAATAGACGAAACTGTATACAGGCCCTAAATGCTACACACTGGACCTTTAAAATTAAATTGGTGCCATTTGATATGTGCCCTCAAAAACACAACCCCATCTTTGTCAGGGTTTTTCTTTTTTTCCAAAATAGTCTGTAGCAACCTATCAGAGAATTAAATGCATATTCGAACAACCTATACAAAAAGGATTTAATTAAATCAATAATTTCTTATTTTATTTGGTATTTTTTGTCATATATGACATAACAATGACTGCTGGGTAATCTGTATGTTAATGTTGTCAAATGTCAAGTCTCAATGTGATGAGACAGTAAGATACAGTTGCTAGTTTAGGTGCGAAATCTGTCAAGACCAAGGCCGCAAGATCAGCCACGGGCTTTGAAGCCAGTTTGACATAGTGGCCATCTGTGGAATTACAACTTCTGGGTCTGTCATATGATGCCATGGACCCAATAGACTTTTCCCATAGACTTACACTGTGAAAGAGAAGCCTGTAAATCAGCAGACACATTGGTTTAGGTACATCAATTGTCAGAACAAAAACTGGAAACCCTTATTCAAAATAATTAGTCCTAAAAGTTGTAAAATTCACTAATAGCCAAATCCAGACTCATCTTATTCATATGAATGAGCCTGATACTGAGCAGTTTGGATGCTGGGTTAAAGGACACACTTGTGTTCTTGCTCTATGGGCCTCACAGTGTAGAGGATCCAGGTGCTTTTTTGCCCAGAGGTCAAACTTTTTTTTGCTTCATGTACTTCTAAGCATCTTTCATAGCAATCAGCAGGTTCTGCCTCCAACATTCAGTTCTCTCTATGGCTTTACCCAGGGTCAAGACTGACAAGATGAGCACAACTGTGAGCCGAGCGAGCAGCTGCGCCCTTTAAACATAAAAGCGGCAGTAAGAAAAGACAAGCGGAGAAGGTTGCAAAGCTCCCTAAAATAAAATATATATGCTTAATGGTGTGTGTGTGTATGTATGTATGTGTGTGTATGTGCCTGCCTCGTAACTAGTATTAGGCGTGCACTAAGGTCCATCGTAGCTGCCTTACACCACTGCTACATGCCCCTCAATGCCTTCACATTTTTAGATGCCAACACATAGAAATCCATCTATGCCACTGAAATATATGTGAAATGGCTCACATATTGGTTTCATATGAAATGACTGACAGGGACAGAGTGTCTGCCCCTGAGCTCAGCAGGGTCTGATTGAAGCCGCTGCGGGCGTTCCCCACACGACAGAAAGAAAAAGAATGAGGAAACCAGTAGAAACTCCAGGAAGTCACTACACCCAGTATTAGTAACCCCATAAAGCCACAAGTTACTGCTTTTACACCTCAGTTTGTGTGCAAATTTAAAAATCAAATATGAATTGGTGAGAGCCAAGAGTTAGATCAGAAGACAAAAACTTTCATATTAATTATACGACACTAACATGAAGCTACAGCCAGGAGACAGTTAGCTTGGCGTAGCATGATAACTAGAAACAGGATGAAAAAGGCTAGCTAAGTTAGCTTGCCTCTGTCCAAAGCTAAAAACATAGATAATAGACGAGGCTGAAGTTGGCACCTTATTCACAGCCTCTTATTGGAATTTTCCGGTCCACCTTAAAAGTGTCATTACACCTGTAGATGGCGGTATTCAGTCGTTTTCCAACTAGCTTCCGATTCGGCACTTAAGGGGAAAGTTAAGGGGAAATTAACTTAATGTGCAGTGTGACTGTTTGTCCACAGATTGTCTGTTTTTTGTGACACTTCTTGATGTGAAAACATTTTAGACATTTTAGGTAAGACATTAACTTTGCCTGACACCCACTATTGTATTTGTGAAACATTTATTTTATTTGTGAAAATGCTAAAGGGGAGATTTCACTGTTTTTGTTTTATACCTAGACCTCATTAGACCAGGTCCAGATAAAAAAAACCCACTGTACCTAGACTTCTCAAATCTGGCCTAGATTATCCTACAGAGGCTAAACATTCATTCAGACACGGTTTCTGATTTGTGAAACCTTTATTCTATTTGTGAAAATGCAATAAAGACACATTTCGCCATTTTTTTCAGCATATAGACCACTTTGGACCAGGTCCAGATCAAAAAACCCTGTACCTAGACTTCTCAAATCTGGCCTAGATTATCCTACAGAGGCTAAACATTCATTATAACACAGTTTCTGATTTGTGAAACCTTTATTCTTAGAAATTAATTTTACATGGCATGTTCTACAAATCCCATGGGCAGTTCAAATCCAGTTGAGCAAACATACCCACTCAAATCCACACTGAGGGCACTGATAATGGTCCATCCCCATGTTAGAAATTAAAAAATTACCTACTGAGGTCGGGCAAGCACCCAAAAGTAACAAAAATGAAGGCTACCACTGATGTCTCTCTTCAATATTTTGACTGTTAGGTACAAACAACTACTTTCTTTAGATTGCACAGTTACACACTGTTTTTGTCTTCATCTTGCTTTTGTTGGCCGCATTAAACCTTTGCCCTTGTAAGGAAGATGCCTATGTCCTTTTCATTTTCCACTGTCAGTGTCAACATTGAAATTAGAATCAATCAATAATCCACTGTATGTTGTAAACAAGAAGTCTTAACAGAATAAGTAACACAATAGATTCTCACAATGAACGGCCATATCTTATACTCTTACCCAGTAGTTAGAGCTCAGCTCTGTTTAATAAACATCTCAGTGTTTTGTGTAAGAGACAATCAATAAATGCAGAATAACCAGAACAAACAGTTCTAGGTGCCACCATGGAAGCCCCACCCCTGTTTTCAGTGTCTGGTAGATTGGGTATGAAATGATCCAGATTCTTAGTCTGGTTAGATATTAAAGTATTCAGTCTGAGTAAACCATTAACAAGGGCTAGTCTCCTATTTATTTTGAATTAGAAAGAATTAGAGATTACAGGTGGTACTTTAATTGTTAAATTTACACTAAAGCATTGGGATATGATTAGGAAATGGGGATAAAAGAACTTGTGTTTTATCACCAATCACTCAAATAAAGAAAAAATCCTCCAGGGATGACAGATAATGGGTTTTCTATGTAGAAAAATGCAGCTATTACAATTT